CAGCACGTGTGGGCAGTGGCTTGACAGCAAGGCCCATTGTGTGTCTGGCTCCAGGGCCCTTCTGGAGCGGGGGGCGTGTGGGCGGGAAACAGCGGTCAGATGCCGACCGCCGGGAGGGTCTGCAGGTGCCCGTGTGCCTGACGCGCTCAACTGCGGGATCCGGGATCCGCTGCCGCAGCCGCCCTGCAAATTAAACTACAGTGTAACACGTGGACTCAGCGTTCCTTCCGGAGAATGAGTTCTTTGCGGTAAACCCCACGCCGCCAGCCGGGGCGCCCAGCTCGGCCGTCAGAGTGTCGGTTTTGGATGAAAACCACGGCTGCCCCCACCCCGCCGGCAGCGCAGCACAGCTCACTCTCACGCGGCCTCCGGGCTGCCGCGCTGCCCGAGCCTGGGCGTCCGCGAGCCTTCACCGAAAGGGGACACCCACAGAGACCCAACGGGGTGTCTTCCACGCCAGGCAACACCCCAATCCCCGGGTGCCCACGGAGTGCCCTACAGTCTGGCTCGCTTGGCGCCACCAGCCACCCCCACTGCCCTCTGGCCCCAGTCAAGAACAGCGCGTCCAGGACAGCACTGAGACACTTGCCACTTCCTGGAGGTTGTGCCATTAGGCGCGTGTCCACGAGACAGCCGGGCGAGCACGCGGGGGCCCTGGCCCGGAGCAGGGTGCACCGCCCCCCACCCGCCTGAGCCCTGCAGGCCTCCCTACAGGCTGCTCCGGCTCCCGGCGCTGGGGCCGCGTTGCAAACTCCCGGCTTCTCGTCCTGGCTTCCGGCCCTGGGAACCACCCAGATGCGCCAGGACGCCCGGTGGCACTCAGGGCTGTCCGGTGCTCTCAGACTCAGGGGCCTACAAGGGCGGGGAGCCCAGGCAGGGGCGGGCCCAGGCCCCGGGCTGGGGTGGGGGGCGGACGCCCCTTTGTCCTCGGGTCCATGGCAGCTTTGGGAGCTGGAGCCAGAGCTCTGGGCAGGCCACACGCCACATCCCCTGCATTCGGGAGAGCACTGTCCTGGACGAGCAAGTTGAGGCTACGAGAGCACAGGGCGTGGACAGCCCCCGCGTCTTGGGCTCAGGGCAGGCCCAGCCTCCTGGTCACAGCTGCGGGGTCTGCCTGCTAGGCCCGAAGCCCACGCCGGCGGCCGCCTGCCTGCCAGGTGCAGAGGGAGGCCAGGACGTGTGACCCGGGGCTCTCAGGAGACCCTGGGCCCGCGCGGCCACTCTGGGCCGGTCACCTGGCCACTGCGGAGGCTCAAGGCGGGGTCTGGCTCCACAGCGCCCTGGGCCCGGAGGGCACCACCAGGGGTTTCGGGGGCGGCCCTCACTGGCCTCCGGCCCTCGCTGGCCTCCAGCGCTTCCGCTCTGGGACTGCCCAGTCCCAGCTCCGCCCTCCAGGAGGAGTGCGCTGGCTGGGCTTGGCGCTCCGCCCAGTGTCTGGCGCGGGGACACCCCTCGCTGATGGAGCGACTGCCTTTCTCCGCAGACCCTCAAGGAATGGGTGGCCATCGAGAGCGACTCCGTGCAGCCGTCCCCCCGCCTCCGACAGGAGATTGCCCGGATGATGGCCGTGGCCGCCGAGCATCTGCGGCGCCTGGGCGCCAGCGTGGACACCGTGGACATGGGCTGGCAGTCGGTGCGTCGGCCCTCTGCCCTGGCTGCCCTGGTGGCGGCAACAGAGCACCCCACCTGCAGCCTGGCCAGGCGGAGCCCCTCTGAGCCTGGGGGTGGGGTTCGGGGCCCAGGACTGGGGCGGGGTGGGGCGGGGCCGGCAGGGACCCTGGCCTCCCTCCCCCCTTCTCATGGTCACCCGGTAGCCTGCCTCTCACACCCTGCTCCCAGCGCCTTCCCCCACGGGTCCGCACCCTTCAACTCAGATGCGCTTTCCAGAAGGTACCGTCTGCCACAGCCCCAGCCCCCAGCTGGTCCGCGGGTCGCTCCTGCCGTCCTGGCTGTCAGCAGTATCTGAGTCCGCATGTCCCGGGGGGCCGGACAGCAGCCGTCAGCAAACCCGTGCGCTAGCGGGCCGGGGCGAGCGGCGCCGTGTCCAGCCCTTGGCTTCCCTCTGCAGCTGCCCGACGGTCAGAAGCTGCCGATACCGCCCATCATCCTGGCCGAACTGGGCAACGACCCCAGGAAAGCCACGGTGTGCTTCTACGGCCACCTGGACGTGCAGCCCGCCAGGCCGGAGGACGGCTGGCTGACCGAGCCCTACACGCTGACGGAACTGGACGGTCAGTGGCGGGGCTGGCTGCCGGGCTGGGCAGTGTGGGTGAGGCCCGTCCTGGCTGCAGGCCTTGGCCACCGCTGCAGTCACGGGAAGGCGCGCAGACGGGCCATGGGCGTCACCGCCCTGTTCCTGAGCTGAGTTTTCCTCCCGCGTCCCGGGAGGACGGAGCCCGGTCCGGGTCCCCGGCCGCGAGGGAAGTGGCTGTGCAGGCCGGCGTGAGGCCGTGAGTTCAGCTTCACAAGACGGCAGTGACGCCAGGGGACTGCGAGGCTCGGGACTGCGAGGCCCCGGCCCGGTCCACTGCCCGGCCGATGCCCGCGCTGGCTCACGGCGCCTTCTCCGCTGCGGCCCAGCACAGCACGGCTGAGGCGCTCGCTCGGCCCGGCGCGGTGTCCACGCTTTCTGAAAAGTCCTCCTCCACTTTCAAGGAAAACTTTACGGACGGGGAACCACGGACAACAAAGGTCCTGTTTTAGCGTGGATTAATGCCGTGAGCGCCTTCACAGCCCTGGGGCAGGTAGGTGGCTGGCTGTGTCTGGGAGACAGGCTGGGGTGAGGCGGTGATGTCAGCGGTGCGGAGGCGGTGACCATGGCGGCAGCGATGATGGCGACAGTGGTGGCCGTGGCAGCGATAAGGACCACGAAGGCTGATGCCCTGGCTCGCCACTCTGCTCCAGCTTCCACCTGCCCTCCCCGGCCCCCCACGCTGCGCCCGGCCCGAGGAGCAGGAGGCGCCGGAAGGCGGGAAACTTGCCCACGTCTCGGTTGTCCTGGCCGGGGGCTTCGGGCACCTTTACAAACAGGCAGCAAAGGCACAGCAGATATTTTTTTAAGATTTATTTATTTATGCATACAGAGGTGCAGGGGGCGAGAGGCTCCCGAGACAGAGCGGGGCGCAGAGCAGGCAGGCGGAGGAAGCCCACTGCTGGCGGCGGGCAGCGGGCGGGCAGCGGGCGGGCAGGAGGGCCCGTCGGCTGCTCTGGCTTCTTAGCGCAGCGCTTCACCCCTGGCCGCCAGAGGGCCCTCTGCCTTCTTCACCTCGGTTTGTCTTCGGCTCTGCCCCTCGTCACAAAGTGTGGCTTGCCATTACACGTGCGCCTTTCTAAGAGCATCGGTTACTTGAGAACCCTGCCGCAGAACTCCCTGGCACGGGGCATTCCGGCTGGGCCTGTAGCGGTCTGATCCCGTGACGAGCGGTGTCCTCAGGCGCCAGGTAGGGGTCTCGCAGGAGGGGCGGGTGCCGGGTTCGGGCCTCTCGTCTGTCGGCCGCCAGGTCCGGCCGCGGCCTCCTCTTCCGATGGGTGTTCTAGACCCCGGCAGAAGCCTGGACTCCTGTGCGGCCTTGGGCTCCACCCCTCTGGGCTTCACACTCTCCTCTGCGAAAGCGAGCGTGTGGGTTCGGGGGCGGCTCGGGGGCGGCTCCCCGACACTGGGCTCATTTGCAGACGTGCAGAAAGGCCATTCGCTGAGCAGGAAGCCCGGCCCTGGGCTCCCGGCTCTCGCACCCCACGTCCCATCACACCCACGTCCTTGAGCCAGAGCGCGGGGAGGCTCCCGGGGGCCGCTCCAGGCCTGGAGGCGGCTCAGCAGTGGACGAGGGAGCAGAAGACCCCAAGGCCTCCCCAAGAAGTGCCCTGCTGGCGTCTCCCGGCCTTCAGGCTCAGGGACTGAGAGGACCTAGCGTGCGCAGGCCATCCCGGCCCAGGGTGGACGCCCAGGGAGAAGGCCCAGGGTGGGCCCGGGTGCTGGCTGAAAGCGCCCCCAGCCGTGGAGAGCACAAGGCGCTTTCCCGAGCGCTGCCTAGAGAAGCGGGGGTCTGCGTGAGGGGGTCCGCGGCCCCTGCTTCGCTGTGTAGGGCTTCCAGCCTGGGCCAGTTTGCACCGTCAGCTGGGGCGTGTCTGGTCCGGGACTGGCCCTGCGTGGGCAGGGGCGCTCCCGGCCTCGCGCGCAGGGGTGCTCCGTGCCTCCAGCTCCATTTGCTGTGAGAGCAAAGCTTTGGCTAAGCCAAGAGCCAGGCTGAACTCCTGGCTGAAAAAGGACAGATACTTGGAAAAATGAGCCCACAGCCTGAGCACTAGACCGCGTCCAAAGCAAAGACCCTCACCTCGCAGGCTGGGCACAGGACAGGAGAGATGTGTGGCGGAGCCACCCGCCTGTGAAGCCCCCCGGGGCGGAGGAAGGCGTCTGCGCCTGTGAACGCTGTCTCCTGAGGGCCCCCAGCCCCTCACCATGGGCGTGCCATCGGTGCGTGCCGCTGGCGTGGAGACGCTGGGCGTTGCCCTGGCTCCCGCG